ATATTTTGGGTGAACTGTACTTGTTGATCTTTAAAGCCCTTTATCTTGTTATTCACTTCCTCCACTTCTGTTGTTTTTTGGATTGTTAGTTCTTTAGTTGCAATCAAGGTTTTGCTTTGTACATCTGGGCTGGTACCTTGGTCTTTCAGATTGGATCTCATTGTCTCATTGGCTGTAAGAATAGTTTCAAGTATGGATTTTAGAATAGCCAAGATTTTTTGCTGACCCTCTTACATTTCTGGCATAGTTGTAGATGGTCTTTCTAGTGAAGGCTATTTATTAAACAAGAGTCAGTAAGTGTTCACCTGCACAGTTCCTAGAGACCAATTTCACTGCCCAGCTGCTCTCTCAGCTTTGAATCTCTCATTGATAATAACAAGGTCAGATCTGGGCTGTAAGCAAGTCTCTTTGTGAAAGATAATAGATTGCTGTACCAAATTTCGCCACAAGATGTCTCCAATAGCATATAAAGTCCTTTTCTGATCGCAAGCTAGTTTCTTGTCTGATTTAACTTCTTTTTTGTAGATAGAATAAAATAGCATGTCCTAGTAAGAATAGGAACTTTTTGGGTCCTCCAATTGCAAAAAGATGTAAATCCAATTATATTAAGTTGTACTTTTCAAGGCTTTGTTTTCCCTGGGTGATCAGCTGCCACCATTGTAGAGGGTGGGAGGAAGAAGTTCCCTTCCCTCTCTCCTCACAGGGGGAAGAAATTTCAAGAAGTGTTTTACAGGAAATTACTTAGGGTACAGAGAAGGTAAGATCTCACCCAATTCTTCCGCATTGCTTTAAAGGTGCTTGTTAGTAGATTTGGCCTCGGCTGTTAGCAGCTTGGTGATGGGCCATGTTGATGGCTGATCTTTTCCCCGTCAGTTTGAAGAGCAGCCCTGGATCAAACGGGAGGGTTGCCACTCTTCCATGATCACTCAGAGGTCCTCTTCTTGCTCATCGCCCCTACAGAGCAACTTCCGACTCTTTTCAGGGCCCCCCGGCAGGAGAAAACTGGATGGTGGAGAGAGCAATTGCCCCACACATCTGCCAATGCCACAATCGCAAATCGGAAGCCCTGGGGAAACATTTCTCAATGCCTTTTTGCCTTGTGATCAAATGCCACTTTTGCTAGTAGTCTGTGGCCACTTAAAAGACTGAGAACAAGCAAGACTCAGTTTATCCCATGCTTGCATTTAGTGGGGAGTACAGCAAAACTGTCAAAATGGTGACTGTGATAGTTGATCAGAACTCCTGCTTTTTTGTGCAACAGCTTTAGCGTTTAGGAACAGAGGTACGTTAGTTGCTTTTCTATTAATACATAATCCTTAAAAGAGCTCTCCTACAGGGACCTTGCCATGTTCTAATTCAGACTGGAAATATAACAAAGGAAAATATTATCCCCCACTCTGCTTTGTCCTGTTTTCCCCACTGGAAATAAGCTGTTTGCAACACACAAGGAGGGAATACTTTCCTAAGAGTTCACAATTCAAGAATACCAATGTTAACTTGGATTGCCAATAAAGTCCTGTCTGTAACAAAAGAGAACACAAAATTGCTTTTGAGCCCAAGTCTCAATGGATTCAGGATTGAAGCACTATGTGAACTGAGGCATCTTCCTTCCTTCCTTCCTTTTCTCATCTCTTTCCTTTCTCCATACTCAGGAAAGGGTGATGGAAGGGGGAGAGATTGGACTTCTGGTTTCATTACGCAGCTGCCATGGACGGCTGGGAGATTTGCTCTCTCTCCCCTGTTCAGTTTTGCATCGCTGGGGGCCCCTGAAAAGGGCTGAAAATCGCCCCGAAGAAGCGATCAGCAAGGAGGGGCTTTTGCTGGATTGCAGGAGAGCAGCAACTCTCCTCTTAGATCTGACAATTCCTCTAAACCGGCAGACAAAAGGACCGGCCATAGAAATATGGCTCGTCCCTAGGCTGCTAACAGTCGAAGTCACATTAACATCTGGCAACTTCAAAGCAGTGTGGAAAGCATTGGGTGAGACCTGCCTCTCTGACATTCTAATTAATTAATTACCTGCATAAGCTATTGAAGTACTTTCCCCCCTGTGGTGAGGGAAGGGGGATTTTAGCCCTCCCTCCAGAAACAGCAGCTATCAATCACTCGGGAGTTTAAGACATTGGAAAAATACTGGGATCCTAATTGGAATTCTATTTTCTAAAACTGGTGGATTATAAGACTTATAACTTTCTACTTTCTATTTTTCTTTTTCTTCCCTAATTTTTACTCTAACTACTATTGAAGATTTGGTTTCTTATTCTGCCCCTTAAAATAGAGGTGGGAAAGAAAACTGAAAAGATCTAACTAACTCTGAGATGACACTTGCTGGCTAAATTTGAGACTGTAACCTGCTGTTCTTTAAGAGAGACTTATTGACAGCCTTGAAAATAGATAAGCTATAAAGCAACCTTGAAGCTCCATCTGCAACAAACTCAACTCAGCTCCTTATGTGGTGGACTTTCTGATTGTAAGTTTTTTTTAAGTTTAATACACTACAATGGAAGAAGAACAGGAATGGATTTTTTCTACAGAGGAAGTACAGGAACAAATTCTTTATATGTTAAAAGCAATTATCCAAACTCTTCAAACTCAAACTATGACTTCAACCAAAGAATCTTCTATACAGAATTCTATAGAGAAAGTGAAACAACAAACACATGCTATGACAGAATACTTAGATACTCAACAAATACAGACAGTGGAAAACACAAAAAAGAAACTGATAATAGAGAACAAAGAAAGGACTTTTCTTATAAACCAGAAGGAATTTGAACATAAAAAAAGAAAAACAGATGAAATAGAAGATAAATACTTTGGGACAACTGCATCAAATTGGAAAAACAAAGAGATGACTTGCTAAATCAGCTAGCCTTCTTAAAAAAACAGCAGCTGAATGCCCTTATCAATATCAAACAATAGCCACAACAATACAAGGAGATCTTTTTGATGATTTAAAAGTGAAGATACGAAAGATGATTTGGCAGAGGAAAAAAGCTAGAATAAGACTGAAAGGGATTAGGGTTTTGATTTATAGATGAGATCCAAAATAGAATATATCTAAATGGATAGAATATGTATTCTGAATATAAGATATTGTAATGATTTGAGATAAAAAAAATTGGTTTTATAAAATCTAGAAATATAAATATTGAAATAAGAATATTATATTGTTTTATTAGTTGGTTAAGATATATGGTAGAATTTATATATAAGATCTATATTTTAAATATTAGATTGTATAAGGAATTGTGATAAAGGAATTGTGCTTAATTAAAATTTGAAAAGAATAAATAAATATTAAACGTTAAATTAAAATATTAAGAGAAAATTAACCACCAGGTCATGATTTGCTAAAAGTTTGAATGTTTACAGATAACTAAGATTTGAGTTTAAGATATTGTTATGAGTTGAGACACAGGTTAAGTAAAACTTAGAAGTATAAATACTAATAATTAAATTTGTATATTGGTTTGTGGTACAAATGCTGATGGTTTAATTTTTTTTAATTTTTTTTCTCTTTTTCTGGAAAGGAATAAAGGAAAGAAGTAGAAGGAAGAAAAGAAAAAAATTATTAGCCATAAATATGAGATATAGGAGACTGAGAAATTGGGATCATTTAAAATCTGGAAATGATAAAGATTAAATGTTAAATTTAAATATCAATGGGAAATTAAAGTTAAGAAAAATTTATTAGGTTATTGTCTAAAAGATGGAATGTCAAATTAATTAAGATATGTATAGACTGAAGATTATTGTTGAATACTAGAAAGGAATTTTTTGTTTGATTGATAGAATAAGAACTGTATTGATCTGAATATGACAGTGGATTTTATGGGGGAAAGAGAGGGAATTAGTTGTTGTAATATTTTGAGATTTGTACTGATGATATTTAAATGTAATGGAATTACTGCGCTCAACCACCATGCTACTTTTCAAATATGTAAATGTAATATTGGAAAATTAATAAAAAAAAACTTGGGGAAAAAAGGAAGAGGGAGAGATTGTCAGTGCTGCCAGTGTCCATGCTGCCACTGGCCATCGCTATCCCATGTGGGCAGGCAGGACTGGTCCCAGTTAAAGGGAAGCCTCATGGCTGTCAGGCTAAGTCAGCGAGTGGCCCATGGAGGTGCTGGTGGGGAGGTGACACTGATCTACAACCTGGTTGAGTCCATCAAAGCCAGAATGTGCTCAGCCTTAGATCCATGGAGCAACTCTGGAACCAGCGAGGAACTGCCCTGCTGCCTCTGCCCCATCCCTTGGGTGTGCACACAGGAAATGACCAGCACCAGCATCTGGGCTGAAGTAAGCCTGTGGGGCAAGACAGCCAGCAAAGATGCCAGACTCCACCTGCTCGCCCAGGGGAAAGGGTGGGGGCACTTGTTGCTGGTTCCAGGGATGCTGAGCATGTTCTAGCTTTGATAGCTGGCACCAAGTTGTAGATCAGTGCTCAGTCAGCCTGGGCCAGGCCGAGGTGCCGTGGGCCAGTCCTTTGCTGTTTCCAAAGTAGGTCCATGGGCCAGACAGAACCATGTTTGACATGTCAGAGATAGAGGGTTCGAATGGGGGGGAAATCTGATTTTGTACATTTGCTAAATCCCAATAAGAGTTAAAGTGTTTGTGTACTGTCTCCTGATGATCTGTAGAACTAAAATATATTAACTGATCATTTCAGCTGCAGTTCATGCAGAATAGAGACATTTTATTCTCTGAAGGCAAGACTTCAGTGAAGAAGCATATGCCCTTAGATAACTTTAATTCTTTTACCATAGCCAGTTGAATCTGTACCAAGTCTTTGGCTTTTGATTGGGATCTTTATTATGAGTGGTTATATCTGGAAAAAAATGTTAAAAATATTGATCAAACAATATGACAAATTAGATAACCTATCCATTTTAGATTTCAGCTGAAATAGGTATACATGATGCCAAAGTTAATTTGTTGCAGAGGAAAATTGAAATCAACTTTTTTAAAATAAAAAGCTTAATTTTTTTAAATAGGTGCTACTTACCTGGGACTGCTTGATGGAAACTGGCTGTCTGGAGATGAGTGGAAAGATTGTTCTATTTGTGATCTCATCCAGGTGATTTCCTATTATTGAATTGATTATTCAGCAATCTTTGTTACCAGCAGATCCAAAATGTGTACAGTATTGTATGCATTATAGTTATCTATAACAAGAATTAATTGCAATTCTCATAGTGTATTTTTCTTTTTCTTTTGAATAAGATTGATTCCTAGTAGCTACCTGAAGAAGATTCTTAGCAGTAGTTCCCAAAAGTGGTTTGATCTTGCTGTGTTCCTAGAGCTGAGAGAGAATGATTGTCCCAGAGTCACCCATTTGGCTTTCATACCTAGATTTTCCTGCTCCTAATCTGGTACCTTCACTATTAGATTGGCTCACATAGGGTGAACTTCAACAGCTGATTTTTTTCAGCCCTCAGAGACCTACCAATCATATTACCAACTCTGGGTACTACAAATGCTAAAATCATATAGGGATAATCGATCCTATTTAAAAGATTAAATTAACTGCTTATTTCTATATCAACTAACATTTGGGATTTTCTTTTTTAGAGCAACTTTGAAAACATTCAGCGTGTTGGGTGGAGGTTACATCTGGTCTACATTGGCATGAATCATAATTTTGCATTGTAAGAATGTCTGAACCCTTGATTAAAATGTTGAGTATCAGAAAAAAGATCTATTAGCTGATCCTGGTAATTAGGAAGGTCAAGGCATCTAAGTACTTGGAAGGATTGCTTCTAGGGAATCTCTGGCCTGTATGCTGAACTGTAAAGTCATAAAGTGTCCCACAAGAAGGCAATGGCAAACCAGTTCCATGTGACCAAAGTTTGATGAGGAGCTGAACTCAGCTTGAAAACTTTATGTCTTGGTAAAGGACTGAATGTATTTGCTACCACTTTGAATGCAATTAGTACTTATGCTCTCCAACATAATTAAAATGTTTATATTCTATTAAAGTTGGTCCACCTCTCTCTATAATAAACCTAAACAATTATGTAGTGGAGTTGCTCCCAAGCTATTTAAGTAGCCCTGTTCATAGGATTTTGCTTTGATGTAACAAGAAGTATGAGAAACTCATCTCAAATTATATGTCCTACCTGCAGTTTAAAATGAACAATATGCACATTTTAATTTGGAATTATTTTTTCCTTGATGTATAGGGTGGAACCAAAAACCTGAAATCCTTGAAGTAAGAAAACATCTGAATTATTTTATGCTGATAGTTTGCAAGTACAAACAAAAAACACTTTTACATACTAACCAAGAATGACAATTGGTCATAGTTAGCCCCCTACCAATGCAATGATTATTAGAAAATCATTGTAACAATGGTTAAGTAAGTGTCTTTGGTTAAATCATTTCCTCCCTTTCTGCCTTATCCTTCAGTATGACAATGCTATTGTGGTACTGCTTAATGGATGGCTTCATGTATCATTGGCATGTTTCCACTGACTGAACCTGCCTGCTCTAACCTGCCTGTTTAATTGTATAACAGCTTTGTGTTTCTGGGATTATAATTGTATAACAAAACATGAAATAAAGCACAACTTATTTGTTCCTCTTTAGCTCAATTCAAGTTAGTCAATGAACAATGTTTAATGAATACTATGTTAAGGCATGGATCAAGATTAGTCATTCTTCTCATAATGCAGTCATATCAATGCAATATATGGATGAAATGTGTTTTCTAAATTTTCAGGATTGTCATTACTGTATTTTGTAGTTTTTGAAATGGACTTAGTGAAAGATATGGAGAACAATACTGTGTTATCATTTCCCTTTGTTATTTTTTCTAGGAAAGCTAATCACATTTTACAATCAAAGGCACTTGAAATCCAATTTCCGAAGGAGCAGAAACAAAAGTTGCAAATGCAACTTCAAGATCTAAAACTGACTATAAACAATATTGTCTATAATACAGTTAGTCAAATATTAGAAGGATATGCAAGCAAAGGCATTAGAAGATGGGTAAGAGATCTTCGTAAGATTTTATTGATAGTTTCCTGACTCAAGCAAAGGAGATTGCTGGATTTCACTTGAAACAGGCAGAATTAACTCCACAGATGAATCATACAAAATTACTTTATTCCAGGCATCCTCAAGTCAATAACTTACAATTACTGTAGAAATTCCTCTGGAATGCAGATTGTAATTGGGACCCATTGCATAGGTAATAGGATAATAGATTTCTCCATTTTACGGAGCTCCCAACCCTTGTGGCTAAAATTCATAGAAAGCTAATAGACTGGCATGTAAACAGGATATCCTGTAATAAAAGACCCTCCCAGTGGCCAATCCTAACACAGATATAATAAGGTAACAACTAAAATTACATTTCCCAGAAGGCCATCCCTTAAGGGGACAGCATTTTAACCTTAAAATGCTACTTGCTCTACACACAGTTCTTAATTCCTAAGCTAGCTATATACTCTGACCAGCACACTCCCCACCTGGAATTATACAATTTCCACTATTAATTAACTATTAACTAGAATAAGCAAAAACATAGCATCAAAACAATGCAATTATGAGGTAAATACAAAACTCGTGATTCAATCTTCAAGTTCAGTCTTCCTCATCAGCAGTACCAAGTCGGTGACCGGTCTGGTGTAAAGCCTCTTAACAAGAGTTTTTGAATCACAACATGACTCAAATGGCTTCATGGTTTGGACTTCAACTTGGCGAACTAGTCTATCAGAGCTGGGTAGAACTTGATGCATAAGTCCTATAGGCCACGAGTTCCAATGTGCGTCCTTGTCTCTCAGCAAGACAAGGTCTCCTTCTTCTAGGTTAGGCTCTTTGGTCTTCCATTTGCAGCGATCCTGTAGAGTAGACAAGTATTCTTGCTTCCAGCACTTCCAGAAGTTGTTGGCGAGCTGTTGAACTTGTCTCCATTGCTGTTTATACATATCTTTGGGAACAAAGTTTCCTAATGGTGCTGACCAGTTGCCTGTCTTCTGGATTAGCAAGGTGGCTGGGCTGAGGATAGTTGGATTTTCAGGATCCGAGGAAACTGGAACCAAAGGCCAAGCATTGAACATAGAGTCCAGGATTTTGCGGGCTATGCCAATCATGTGTTCCCATTCTCCTCCCATGTAGGATGCATGGGGAGGATTGAATGTCCATACACAATTTTGGGCTTTTAGGTATTTGTCAGTTACTGGGTCATGGCACTTCATTAATCTGTAGTTCTTTGCAGGCTCCTACGAAGTTAGTTCCTTGGATGCTAAGACATGTGAATAGGACAATCACTGCTATGCCCAATATGAGGGGTCTCCGCTTGGAGGAGCATTCAAAGCGGGCTGGTTCTAGGAAATGGTTAGAGGGCGGTTTCTCTGTCTCCTTGACCATTGTCTAGAAGCAGATGGTCTGGACGGTTGTTTTCTTGTCCTTTCTTAGCAATTTGCTGGGTACCTGAGGTCGAACGTGGTCATCTTGATCTGGGTATAGAAGCGCATAGTGTTCTGGTCTCTGTGACATCAGGCTGTCTGGATGAGACAAGAACTCAGGACCCTTTAGCCAGATCAGTTCTGCCAACTGTGATGCAAGAATGGACCATGTAGCTTGGTCCGCAGGGTTCTGATCTGTTGGCACATACTGCCATTGCTCAGGACTTGAAGATCTTCTAATCCTTTCTACTCTGTTGCTTACATAGACATAGAAGCATCTGCTTTGGTTGTGGATGTAGCCCAACACCACCTTGCTGTTCGTGTAGAAGGTGGTGGATCGTAGCTTAAGGTCTATCATTTTCGTTATCAGGTCTGCAAGTTCTACAGCCAATACAGACCACAAAGTTCCAACTTCGGTACAGTTTGACCTTGTTGTGCTAGTTTCGCCTTTCCCATAGCGAAACTGACATAAATATGGCTCTCCCCGCCATAGACTCTGATGTATCCTACAGCTGCTATCACCTTCACTGATGCATCTGAGAAGACATGCAATTCTTTCTTTTGAACGGCAACTGGTGAGATGGAGACATACATGTGTTGCACGCGGATGCTTTGGAGAAAACTTAGGGATGGACACCATGTCTCCCAGTCTTGCTTCTTTTCTAGCATAAGCGGCTTGTCCTAGTTTGTAGTGCTCTGGGAGAGCATGCATAGCTGCAGAAATTCTTTGTCCTCTATCGACAAGGCTAAGTCATTGTGATTTTTGCTGGTCTGAAACACTGTTGCTCCCAAAACAGGTTTGGTTGTCGAAAGCGTTAAGTGTTCTTGGCATGGTTTCAGGTGGGATGCTCTCCCATTACTAAGAATGGAGGTCGTTGAGATATTCCCCTGGGTTGGAGTTTGTAGCCAGTTAACATAGACCATTCCTGAGATGACCCATCCAAGTTCCATCTTAAAGGCAATTGGGGGGCCTGTTGGGCTGCTGACCATTTCATGTTAGGCAAAGGTGTCAGGGGCATCTACTCCCCACAGAAGCAGGATTTCGGCTTCAGGATCTAGGGCAGGGAAGTGATCCACCATGAGTGCCAGGTGAGGTATGGTGTGTGCTACCTCTGGTGTTGGAATTTGACTGCAATCATCTGGTAAGGCATCCCATTCTAGCAATGGCGGCAGTAGGAACTGTGAACTCCCATCTAACAATTCTATGTAGAGTCTGGTGACTTTCCTCCCCACCGTGCTCTGGGGAACAGTGCACGTTGATATTGTGAAAGGCGTTTCTTCACTTGGGAGTTCACTTGGAAATGGCGAGTCGCTACATACTGACATGCAGTTGACACTCGCGATCGCCTCTGGGTGGACTTTGGAGCCATGCTGAGGATCCTTGGTCAGAGGAGGAATAGAAGTTGCTTGTTGTAGCTGCTCAGAGTCTGGATGCAGGGCTCCCGGGTGTTTGTCAATCTTGCCTACATGACACTTCACCTTAGTTGCAAAAGCTTTGGCCACGTGTTCTGTAGGCTCACAGCATTTGAAGCAGACCTCGTACTCTCCCAAATCCAACTTTCTTCTCCAGGATGTTGGAGGATACATTGGTGCTGTATAGGGCAGGGGTAGGCAACCTTGGCTCTTTTATGACTTGTGGACTTCAACTCCCAGAATTCCTGAGCCAGCCATGCTGGGGGGAAAGGGAAAGGTTTCCAAGCTGAGCCATGCTGGCTCAGGAATTCTGGGAATTGAAATCCACGAGTCCTAAAAGAGCCAAGGTTGCCTACCCCTGGTATAGGGGGTGTAGTCAGTCAGAGGTAGTATGGTGTTGAGTCATTAGGAGCACGATTCGTTGATCCTCATATGCATTGCTCCCAAGAGCAGGAGCATATGCCAGAGATGGCTGGTGATTTTCTTCAGAGTAGCGCATTCTGGTTGTCCATATAGGTCTTGATATGGCTGTGCGAGCTTCTACTTTCTGGACCTTCAAGGTTGGGCATGAAGGCAACACCTTTGGCCTCTGCCTGTAAAACTGCAGCCCTTGCTGTTTTTCTTGCTGCCTTCCTTTTTTGTTGTAGAAACTCAAGCCTGGCCTGAGCTATAGCCATTTCTTCCTTTTGTTTAGCCATTTCTTCTTTTTGTTTAGCCATTTCTTCCTTTTGCAGTTGCTCTGCCTTTGCCACACGTAAAACTGCTGTTGCCGCCACGGCATCGATTCATGCTTGTGCAGCTTGAGCAGCCAGGCTCTCTGCCCTGTAGATTCGGGAGAAATGGCTATGACGAGAAGATGCTTTGGAGTGACAGGAGGCGCCTGAGATGGAAGGTTGTTGTGACACGCTGGAACACACCTTGGACCGTTGTGAGTTATGATGAAAGGATGCGGCTTTCTTAGAGGCATGAGAGGGAGCCCCATGTGATCGCTGGGATGGTGCATGCAAACGATGGGATACTTCAGACTCAGCCCTCTTACTCAGTGTGTCTTTCTCTTGAAGTCCAGTTTGGAGAGACTCCTTACTGCTTTGTAGCAGCTTTTCACACTCTCTGTTTATCAGCTTGAGGTGTTGCATTTCCCTTTTGGATGTTGAATTTGGATGTCTATGAGGCGGCATTCATAGTCTGTACATAGTCTGTACAATGTAGGAAAACCTGTCCATATCCTCTTCCAAAGAATGAATGTGCCTGGGGGAAAGCTTATCTTTGGACACATCACAGAATCCCTGCAGCTTCTCCCAGTATTCCTCATGATGATCATAGAGGCCACTCCACTTCTCCAGCAGGCTTGACCATTTGGCTTCGGTGGGCTTTCTTTGATGTCTCAAGTCATAAGGTTTCTAAGACATTTCTGCCTTTTCCAAATTTTGGATATCAAGTTCTGCATACAAGTCAAGGTTAGTTGGTTGGACTGGGTTTTCTGGCCCATTAGAAGATTCTGCCATGACTAGGGAAGACTCAGAAGTTTTCCTAGATGTTTTGAATGGGTTCAGTGAATTTTGCTCTTTGACCACCAGGATGCGCTGTTTGCGTGGGTAAAGACTTCAGTAAAATTCACTCTTTGACCATCAGGGCGCACTGTCTGCAGGTAGCATAAATACAAGCCTGTTATTTGCAGGTTAGCCACCAAAGGGTGCTGCGTCTAGGCCACTAGGATGTGTTGTTTACAGACAGCTTAAATTCAGGCCTTTGTTTGCCGATTGGCCACCTAGACTACACTTAGAAAAGACTGGTTGCAATCTGATCCCTTTTAATGAGCTACAAAGTTCTGGGTGTCTGTTTATAGAACTCTAAGGCTTGCATTCCTGACTCAAGATTTCAAGTGAGAACGTAGAAGTTTGCACTAAAAAAGGAGCTCAGTTTGCTATTTTCCTTCAAGCAATAGTCAAAGGAACATCTGAGTGGCCGGCTTCACTTAATCAAATAGGCTGGCCTTTATTGTTCCCTGTGCCTGCATTCCAAGGGAAGAGATTTGCAGGAGGTGTTCAGCTTACACATTTGGTAGATAGCGATCTCATGCAAATTTACCTGTCTCTTAGCAACTGATTGCTTTGGTTTACAAGCAGGCTGAGAAGTGATCCCAGCAAAGGGGGTTGGGCTGTTAGCTATACACAGACACAGTTCTTTTTCAGTTTGAAATGCTGAGTTTTTTTAGATGGGGAAGTGATCTTTTCAACCTAGCTAGGCAGAGCAATTTCAACACACATACATCTCTTTACACATGCAAGCAAGGAAAGGTATGCAGGAGGAGACTTTCACTTTAGATGAAGATTTGTTTCTCTTTTTAATCTCTTGCAGGCAGAGCAAGGCATGCAGGCGGAGATCAAAGGTAGATAAATGCAAGAGAAGGTTTCAATCCTTTTTCCTTTAGGCAGATAGAAAAAGATAGATTCTTTTTTACTTTAAGCAAAGAGAGAAACACATAATATCTTTTTACTGTCCTGGCTCAAGCAAAAAGATTGCTGGATTTCAGTTGAAACAGGCAGATAACTCGACAGATGAATCATGCAATTATTTTATTATCAGGTATCTTCAAAACATTAACTCACAGTTATTGCAGAGGTTCTTCTGAAATGCAGATTGTAATCTGGACCCATCACATAGGTAAAAGGATAATAGATTTCTCCATTGTAACAGAGCTCCCAACCCTCATGGCTAGGATTCATGGAGAGATAATAGACTGACACAAGTAAACAAGATATCCCATAATAAAAACACAAAACCCTCCCAGTGGTCAATCCTAACACAGATATAATCAGGTAACAACTAAGACTACATTTCCCAGAAGACCATCCCTTAAGGGGACAGCATTTTAACCCTTAAAATGCTACTTGCTCTACACACAGTTCTTAATTCCTAAGTTAGCTATACACTTTGACCAGATGGCTATATACTCTGACCAGCACAGATAGAAATCATATTTATGCCAAATCAATATGACTAAATTCACCAAATCAAATCCTGGCATGCTAGTAATTTTGTTCATGTTCTTTTAGTTAGTCTTCCAGCTCAAACTGGCAACTTTACTGGCAACAGCACAGTGAAGTCAAGTAGACTGAAGGCATGATTTATAGACTTTTCTATTCTGTATTTGTGTATCACTTTTTATTACTTGTGCCACTTGTGGAGTGGCAATTCATATCATAAGTGATGTATGTGATTCAATATTTCTGGAAAGTTGCAGTAATGTTCGGGTTTAATTTTTTAAATCATTTCTGGCTCCTTTTCTAAATTTTCCCAAACTTATAGATGTATTAAATGTATGAATTGTAATTTTACCTTTTATCCATGACAGAATATTGAAATAATTCTTAAAAAATTAGAACAAAAGTTGGATGAAGATGTTGTTCAGATGACAGATTATGCACTCCAATCTGCAGGTATTTGCAGCAGCTATTAGAATAGAATAGAATAATAGAATAATAACTTTATTGTCACTTTGAATGTACACTAATCGGCATACATTAAACTGACACTTCATTGCATACAACTCTCAAAGGATCACCCTACAATATACACTACATAAATAGGACAAAAAATAAATACAGAATTATACATATACTTACATATATTATATGACACAGAGAAACAACAGCCTAGTTCAGGTTATGTATACATGTGCATGGCAAGAAAAACGAATCTTGCAAGTTTACCAGATGGGTGGGATAGGGAACGAAGCTATTGCAGAATCTGGTAGTCCTGCTGGAAATACTTCAAAACCTCCTCCGAGAGGAAGGAGAAACAGATTGTAAAGTGGGTGTGTGGGGTCTCTAACAATGCTTTGAGCTCTAAGCACATAGGGTTTATAAGCAGCATCCTGAATATCAGGAAGTGAGCTTCCTATGATCTCGGCTGTCCTTACCATTCTCTGTATGGACTTTCTGTCTGAGGCACTGGTGCCACCAATCCAGACAGTGATGCAGTTTGTTAAAATGCTTTAAATCGTGCCTCTGTAAAAAGTGGCCAAGATAGAAGGAGAAAGATGTGAACTCCTCATCCAACACAGGAAATGCAAATGCATTGTATGCTTCACTATGGATGACGTGTGGAGAGACCAAGTAAGATTGTTAGTTATCTGCTCCCCCAGATACTTAATACTGTTGACCACCTCTACAGCTGCATACTTGATACTGAGTGGAATATGACTATGCTGGCTCTTTCTAAAATCTACAATGATCTCCTTTGTTTTATTAACATTTAGAACCAGGTTACTTTTATTATACCAATCCACCAGAGCCTTCACCTCCTCCCTATAAGCATCTTCATTGTCATCTTGGATAAGTCCCACCACTGCCGTGTCATCTGCATACTTCACAATATGATTCCTAGCAGATTTGGCACAGCTTTGTGGGTCATCAAGGTGAACAATAATGGACTCAGGACACAGCCCTCTCCAAACTACATAATTAGATTTTGGAAATCCCTACTATTCATATATAGTACAGTTTTAATTATATAAAATATTATGTGTATTTCAGTTGTTAAATTAAAACAAATGTCAAGTATTTCATGTAATCATTATACTATTTTAATAATGTATTACATAATTAGATTTTGGAAATCCCTACTATTCATTTATCATACAGCTTTAATTAGTATAAACTATAATGTGTATTTCAGCTGTTAAAAAAATGTCAAAGTATTTCATGTAATCATTATGCTATTACTTTTAATAATATAGTTTATTAGTATCAATATCAAGTACAATATCTGAAAAGTCTTCAAAAGCATTTTGCACATATTTTAATATGCAAGTTCTAAGAGGTTCACTATGAAATTGTGCAAGCATAGTTGAAAATTGATAGAAAAGTTTCCAGCTTTCTTACTAAATGCTTATCAGAAAATATTCACAGCCACTGTCTTTTTAGATTTATTCCTAAAAGAATGAGCTTTAGGAATACCCTAGAGCAGAGGTCTGCAACCTTAAATACTCAAAGACCCAGTTGGACTCGTTTCCCAGGGAAAAGAAAACACTGGGAGCTGCAAAACTTGTATGTCCATGCATGTGCGCACAAAGGGGAGGGGGAAAAACTTCATTGAAAAGTTTAATTAAAAAGAAATAGAGGCTGCTGTGCATGAGTTCTCTCTCTCTCTCCTCTCCCCCCTCTTTCTCTCTTTTCTCTCTCTCTCTCTCTCTTTCTCTCTTTCCTCTCTTTTTCTCTTTTCTCTCCCTCTCTCCCTCTCTCTCTCGCTCACTCTCTTTCCTCTTCCTCTCCCTCTCTTTCTCTCTCTTTCCTCTCCCCCCTCTTTCTTTCTTTTCTCTCTCTTTTTCTCTCTTTCTCTCTCTCTCCCTCTTCTCTTTCTTTCTTTCTCCCCCCTCTATTTCTCTCTCTGATCTTCTGCTCACCTGGCAAGCTGGCTTCAAGCTGTTCTCCAACAAGCTGACACACATTCTTATTGGGCTGGTTTTTTCCTGCCCTTCTTGCTTCCTGCTTCCTACTTCCTGCAGAGACACAGCCAAGGCAGGAGCCCTGCCCAATAAGCTTGTCAGCTCATTGGAGAACAGGGTGAGGCCACTCTCTTTTTTATACACAGAGGAGTGAGTGAGGGAGGGAGGGAGGGAGGAGAGAGAGAGAGAGAGAGAGAGAGAGAGAGAGAGAGAGAGAGAGAGAGAGAAGGGAACATCTCTCTCTCTGTGTCTCTGTCTCTCTCTCTCTGCAAATGGCAGAGGAGGCTGGGAACCGCAGGAGAAGGCTCAAAGAGCCACATGCGGCTCTGGAGTTGTGGGTTGGCGACCCGTGGCCTAGAGCTTCAAACATGACAGACATAAGAGAACTGTAGCCCATTAAACATTTCTCTTTTTTCTATTTTACGCAGCCATAACATTTCACTCAGATTAAATTCCAAGGTAGATGTATTTTAGATGCAGCTAATAATTTTATGTCATCTGGTCGCATTTAAAATGCATGGTAGACTTATCTCTGCAATAATAAACTAAGCAACAATAATAACAAAATCACCCCAAATGTGGCTTTTAAAGATCTGGATAAATATAAATATACATTGCAAATGACTTATTCACTAGTGTACATTCTCTGTTATTCTTCATTGATGACAGAAATCTCCCATCCCCAATATTTTGTATTGGAGGAGTTTACTAATTGTTTGTTGTACATAAACTGTAAAAGAAATTATATTATCTGCACTCTCTGCTAATAAATTGCATTAGTCTTATATGCCTGGATTTTTTTGTATTAAAAAATTGCATTTTTTGTATCCATTAAAATAGATAAATGATGAGATATTTTATTGTAATACAATGTAATTCTAGGTGCCACTATTGTTCAGTCCAGAACCACTAGAAGCTACCACTATCCTGATGGAAACTATTCCTGGATGTCACTCATTATATTCCCTTTCGTGAAACCACCAGATGTAATTCTTCAGGTATAAGTAAAGATAAAGTATTTGGAAGATAGTGCTGGGCTTCAGACTTCAGTGACTGTAAGTTAGAGAACAGATTCCTTGAGATTTTACTGGCAACTGTGGCTAGAATCTTCAGAGGCAAAGTGATATGCTATTCAAACCAAAGGCAACTGCTTGGGCTCCAATCTTTATAGCTACATGTCTTGAATTCAGATTGGCTTTTAGGCAAGCTGCTTTCTGATTGGTTCTTTCTGGCCCATCCCGATTGCCATTTTTGGAGTGCAAGTTCTTGATTCTTAGTTTGTGCTTGATTCTAGTTTATTTATTTAGCATATGGCATGGATTCTAGTTGATTAGTTTAAAGAAATGAGTCTTGATTGGGTTCTTGGAAGTTTCTGATTTGCCTGAACTAAAGCTAACACTAAAGTGTTCCAACTGATGTTCAAAAAAACCCCCTCATATAATAAACATTAATTAAACAGAAGCTTAAACTATAGAAACCAAAATGAAGACAGTAGATCAGGTGCTGCAAACGACAGTAGATCAGGAACTGCGAATGGCCATAGACTGGGTGCTGCGAACAGCAATAGACCGGGTGGTGTGAATGACAGTAGACATGGAGTGGTGGTCTTATCTCCAGATACAAGCAAGATACATGAAGGATAAGCAAGAATGGGGAATTAACAGACAAGATACGGGGTTAGATAAAATACTGCTAGGCCCAGAGAAAAAACAAAATATTTATAAATACCTGTTGGAATATAAACTATATGAGGAACAGGTTAAAGAAACAATGGTGACATGGGCAATAGATCTAGGATATAATATAAATATGGATCAATGGCAGCAAGTATGGGAGCGAAATAACAAAATTACAGTGGCAACATCATATAAAGAAAACCTGTATAAGATGGTTTACAGATGCCATCTCCCTCCAGCCAGATTAGCCAAAATGTATAACGGATATCCATCTATGTGTTGGAAATGTAAAAAATAAAAGGGCACCTTTTTTCATGTATGGTGGACATGTAGAGAAGCACAGGTGTACTGGCATATGGTCTGGGAATGGGCAATAGAAATGACTAGGCAAAACATTCAATACAAACCTGAGACATTACTATTAGGAATACTAGAGAAAAATGTAAATAAAGAGGACACATATTTAATTATCACGTGGTTACAGCAGCAAGGAGACTATTTGCTCAAAAGTGGAAAGCAATGGAAGTACCGAGTGGGAAAGAACTAATAAAGAAAATTATGTATTGCGCAGAACTAGATAGGATAACTAAAAGATTAAAAAATCAGGAAGAAACAGAATTTTATCGAATATGGAATAAATTTTATAGATGGAGGGGAAAAAAATGGAGGTCACAGTAAAGAGATAAGTTGAGATAGAGCCAGAAATGTATAGTTGTATATAGATATATTATATGTAATTAATGTACAATATGGACTGAGATGTCAGTCAAAGACGATTTAACATGTTCAATGTTTTTAATCCTTTTTTCTTTGTACTTAATAAAAAACTGAAAAATAAAAAATAAAAAAAGAAGACCTTTAAACTAAAATTGAGAGGGAAGGGTGACCAACCATTAGAAAACAAAACCAATCATAAATCCCCAAAAAACAAATCAAACAAAGAGGTAGGGAGTGATGAGAAAAAAGAAAAAAACCAAACAACAATCAGAAGATCCAGGAAACATACCCATGGACAAACATAAAAGTCTTAAATATTTATATATTAATGTTCAAAGTTGGAGAACAAACAGGATGAACTAGAAACAATAGTACATGAGGGTAGATATGACATAATTGGCATTACAGAAAGCTGGTGGGATGAAACCCATGACTGGAATGGACTGATGGATGGATACAAATTGTTCAAAAGAAACAGAACTACAAAAAGAGAAGAGGGACTTGCACTATATGTAAGAAAACACTACATATTTACAGAAATGCACATGATCAAAGATAAAAGCCCTCCAGAATACTTATGGGTCAATATAAAAAGAAAAATAAGTGACATTGCCATAGGGGTATACTACAGGCCACCCAACCAATCAGAAGAAATGGACTCTTTGTCAACCAGTTAACAAATGTATGTTGGAAGCATACCACGGTAGTAATGGGAGATTTCAGATGGGAGACAAACTCTGCAGCAAGCGGGAGATCAAACAGATTCCTAACTAAGCGCACTGACAATTTTGTCATTCAAAAGGTAGAGGAGGGAACTAGAAGTAAAGCTATACTGGACCCAATTCTTACTAATAGACAAGAAGTGATACAGGGAGTTGAAGTTACCAGAACCTTGGGTGAAAGTGACCACATCATACTGGAATTCAGTATAATGCAAACAATATAATGCAAGCAATAGAAAATAATTCAACCAATGTCTTAAACTTCAGAAGAGCTGATTTTAACAAACTCTGAAAGAACCTAGAAAAGATTCCATGGATAAAAATCCTAAAAGGAAAATAATTCAAGAAGCATGGGAAACTCTGAAAAATGCTATAATAAAAGCCCAGTCCATCAGAAAACCACTGAAAAAGAAAAACAAGAAGAAACCAGCATGGCTGCACAAAGATTTCTTAGACAAACTGAAAGATAAAATGGACAAATGCAGAAAATGAAAAGAGGGACACATAACTAAGGCTGATTATCAGCAGACAGCCAGAATATGCAAAGACGAAGTCAGGAAAGCAAAGGTCCAGAATGAACAAAGACTTGCAACAGAAATCAAGGATAATAAAAAAAGTTTCTTTCAACAGATTAATAACAAGAAAAAAGTCAAGGAATCTAAGTTCACCACAGAGAGAAAATGGTAAGAAGCAATAGGGAGAAAGCAGAGCTGCTTAACTCATTCTTTGCATTAGTCTCCACACAAAAAGAAATTACAGTACGACATACCAAAAAAAAAAAAAATACTGCGAAAGACAAACTGGAAACAAAAATTAAAATAAAATAAGCAAGAAAATGGTAAGAGAACACCTATCTGACCTTGACAAATAGAAATCACCAGGACCTGACAGATTACATTCCAGAGTTCTGAAGGAACTGGCAGATATTATCCCAGAACCATCGCACCATGTTTTTCAAAAATTGTGGAGCACTGGGGAAGTACCTGAGGATTGGAAAAAGGCTGATGTGGTTCCCATCTTCAAGAAAGGGGAAAAAAACAGATCCAGGAAACTACAGACCAATCAGCCTAACCTCAATACCTGGGAAGATACTGGAAAAAATAATCAAAAAACAGATCTGTGAACATCTAGAAACAAATAAACAGGTTTGTTAAAAACAGACCATGCCAAACCAATCTTATTTCATTCATTGATAAATTGACTAAATTAGTAGATCAGAAAACGCTGTGGACATAGTATACTTAGATTTCAGTAAGTCATTCGACAAAGTAGATGACTATCTACTGCTTGGTAAGCTAGGAAAAGGTGGAATAGCCAACTGATGGATTTGTAGCTGGCTGACAAACCGTACTCAACGAATAGTCCTCAATGGTACTACATCCACATGGAGAGACGTAAGCAGTGGAGTACCACAAGGTTCCATGTTAGGCCCAGTACTCTTCAATATCTTCATCAATGTCTTAGATGAAGGAATAGAAGGGTAACCCATCATATTTGCAGATGATACTAAACTGGCAGGAATAACCAACACCCCAGAAGACAAGCTCAGGATTCAAAAAGATCTTGACAAACTGGAACAATGGACCCTATCCAACAAAATGAGTTTTAATGTGGAGAAAAGCAAAGTTTTACATTTAGGCAGGAAAAATCAAAGATATAAGCTCAGATTAGGTGAGATCTGGCTCAAAAACAGTAACTGTGAGAGGGACCTTGGAGTCTTAGTGGACGATCACTTGACTATGAGCCAGCAATGTGCAGCTACAGCCAAAAAAGTTAATACAATCTGGGGTTGTATAAACAGAGGCATAGAATCAAGATACACGAAATATTAGTAACCAATTTTGGTCACCATATTACAAAAAAGATGTTGAAACCTTTGAAAAAGTTCAGAGAAGAGGAACTAAGATGATCAAAAAAATATGAAGAACAACTGCTGGACTTGGATCTGGCTAGTCCAGGGGTCTGCAACCTTAAACACTCAAAGAGCCACTTGGACCCATTTCCCAGAGAAAACAAAACACTGGGAGTTGCAAAACTTGTGCACGCATGCGCGCGCACACAAAGGATGGGGACATTGATTGAAAAGTTCAATTAAAAAGAAATAGAGGCTGCTGTGCATGAGTTCTCTCTCTCTCTCCTCTCTCTCTCTCCCTCTCTTTCTCTTCCTTTCTCTTTAGTCTCCTTCGCTCTCTCTTTCTCTCTCATTACTCTCCCTCTCTCTTTCTCTTTCCTCTCTCTCTCTTTCCTCTCCCTCTCTTTCTCTTTCTCTCTTTCCTCTCTCTTTTTCTCTTTTCTCTCCCTGTCTCTCTCCCTCTCTTTCTCTCCCGCTCTCTTTAGTCTCCCTCTTTCTCTCTTTCCTCTCCCTCCCTCAGTCTTTCTCTCTCTCTCTCTTTTCTCTCCCTCTCTCTTTTTTCTCCCCCTGTCTCTCCCTCACTTTCTCCCTTGCTCTCCCTCTCTTTCTTTCTTTCTCCCCCTCTTTCTTTCCTCTCTCCCTCTCTCTCCCCCCTCTCTCTCCCTCTCTCCGATCTTCTGCTCACCTGGCAAGCTGGCTTCAGGCTCTTCTCCAACAAGCTGACACACGTTATTGGGCTGGCTTTCTCCTGCCCTTCCTGCTTCCTGCAGAGACACAGCAAAGGGAGGAGCCCTGCCCAATAAGCTTGTCAGCTCATCGAAACAGCGTGAGGCCACTCTCTTTTTTACACACGCAGAGAGAGAGAGGGAGAAGCAGGGAAGCACAAGTGCCTCTCTGTCTCTGTCTTTCTCTCTACAAATGGCAGGCTGGGAGTTGCAGGACAAGGCTCAAAGAGCCACAGATTGCCGACCCATGGGCTAGTCTAAAGAAAAGAAGAAATAGGGGTGACATAATAGCAGTATTCCAATATTTGAGAGGCGGCCACAAAGAAGAGGGGGGGGGGTCAAATTAATCTCCAAAGCACCAGAGGGCAGGACAAGAAACAATGATTGGAAACTGATGAAAGAGAGAAGCAACCTGGAATTAAGGAGAAAGTTCCTAACAGTGAGGACAATTAACCAGTGGAACAGCTTGCCTTCAGAAATCATGGGTGCTCCATCACTGGAGGTTTTTAAGAAGAGATTGGACAGTCACTTGTCTGAGATGGTATAGGTTCTCCTGCTTGAGCAGGGAACTGGACTTCCAGATTCTATTCTATTCTGTTCTGTTCTGTTCTGTTCTGTTCTATTCTATTCTACTCTACTCTACTCTACTCTACTCATTAAATCCTCTTTAATTGACTGAGTTATAGGATTTATACAGTAGAATACTTAAATTATTCAGAATTTTCTCTTTATTCTCTTTAAGCCCAGTTATCACCTTGGAAATTGCTGGTCTTTTCCTGGAAGTCAAGCTGAAACTGTTATCAGATTAGCTAAAGAAATTATTCCAAGGGCTGTTACAATACAACATATATCTAAGAAAGTCTCCCCCACAGACAAGATCTCTAGTGCTCCCAAAGATTTTGCTATTTATGTAAGCATCATGGTCTAATTTATTTACTAAATTTAAGTAAAAATTAACTTGCAACTTGCATTTCTATGATTGTTATTGTTTTAGGATTGAAAGATTCCTCTCTAGGTCAGATTGGGTCAACTACCAAGAGGATGATTGTATTAAGATCATTTCACTGAATATTTTTTACATCACAATATGCTTTTATATCCCAATGTCCCAATATATTTTATAACCCAATGCCCCAATTTTATATCCCAATATGGTATACATATTTTATTTTACATTCATTTATTATGTCATTAGACTAATGAAAAAACAATTTTCACATTAACAATCTCGATTTTACCAATACTGTAACTGATTAGTTGAAACAATTTCTGAATATTTTGTTATAATTATAGTTTCTTCACTGTGATTGTTGGTTAGATACAACTGATTAGCTTCATACAACATACTAAACTATAGCTCATGTTTTACAAATGGCAGTGGCAAACCCAAACAACTAATACAAAAGCACATTTTGCATGAAGTCTTTTATATTCAAAGATTTTGACAATCATAGACACAATCATAGAATCATAAGAGTTGAAAGATCCCAGGTTGGATTTCTTTCTAACGAGTTTCTACCCATTACTTCTCATCCTGCCCTCAAGTACTATGGAATATTAATTTATCCCCTCTTGCTGAAATATAGTCCTTTGAAAGCTTGAGTTCCTTCATCCTGTTTAACTTTATATGAAATCACTCAGGAAGTAACTTACAGCTTTGGCATGGAGTGCATGTAGCATATTACAGTAATGATTTAGTTCTACTGCTTCTTGCCACCTAACTATAAAAAAGAAAGGTTTCTTGAGCATTGCACAAAGTTAATAATGGGAGATGAAGGAGAACAAATTAGATTTAACTTTCTATTTTAAATTGCCTTAATTCATTAATTAGAGTAAGTCTTACAGTGCTTTCTGAAATAAAAATTGACAAAACAAAGCTATCACTTTATATTATTTAATTACAGTCAAATGTAATTATCAAAGCTAATGTGTGGATGGCACAAAATATAATGGAAACGTCCAAGGTCATTGAAGAGAAACTTTGTATGTGTGCACACCTCTGTACATATAGATACATAAACACACATACTGTATTCCAATGTATTTCAGACTAAATTAGTCTTTCAAAGGCACTGTATAAATGTTCATCCTATATTGGCATTTTTCAGGATAAAAATGATTAACCAGAACTATGTATATTGCTGAAATATGTGAACTAAAAATAATAATTTTTTGCTTTGTATTTCTGAGTATTAAGTTTATGATAACTCTACAGGTAAATAATTGATTCTTTAATTAGGATATCAGTGGATCTTTAATAAATATCCAGTAAGCCATGAACAGTCTCATATTAATGACTTAAAAATGCTTCTCCACAATTTGACTAGCTACATATGTCAGATTGGATTCCAAAATGGTTAAAATCTTTGTCTTTCTTCTACTTTTATGGAATATTCTATGAGGTCATGATTGTTGGTAATAAATCCTTTCTTCCAAAAGGGACTAAAAGCAGAAGAGGAGAAACAAGGAACTTTCTTGGGTCAGTTTACATATGACATGGAAGGATTCTTAATTCAAACATTCCAGTTGAAAGTATGTAGAAGAGAAATTTCCACACAATTTTAATAAACATTGCTATTGATCAAGGGGACAGTTATAATAATCCATACAGTTAGCATAACTATATAATCATCATGATTTTCCATAAAATTAAAAAAAAGAATCTCTAGGTTAATTCCTCTTGACATTAAATCCTGATCTAGTGCTAAAGGAATGAATAGTGAGATGCCTACATGAAATGCCACACTTGAGCATATCCCTCTTTTTTGCCTGGCAGAAGAAGGAATTATTAGAACTTTACTTTGGCAGGTTCTTATTTATTGGCAGATGAGAATCACTATAACCACATAACATTTGGGGGTACTAATGATGGCTTGCACTAAGTGATTTGATTGATTTATTACCCATAAATGCCTATATTGGGTGGAAAGCCCAATCACAATGCGGGCCATATGGTGACATATCAGGTGGTTTTCACCTTTGCAGTGCCGGGATAGGCATGGCCTGTGCAGGCCGGATGTGGTCCATGGCCCGTGAGTTTGACATGCCTGGCCTATATGATTTTGGTTCTTAGGAAGCTTTGGGATCATCTTCCTTATGGAAACAAATCATTTAATGCATGCCATCATTAGTACCTCCATTTGTTAAAAGTCCTCCATTTGGAGAGATTGGGGGCAAGGATTTGTAGACACATTATTTTGTTGCAGTTCCTGAATTATGGAATAGCTCTATCCCAGTGGTTCTCAACCTGTGGGTCGGGACCCCATTTGGGGTCGAACGACCATTTCACGGGGTCTCCAAACAAGGCTGTCCGCCATTTTTTCCCCCTTTTCTTTGGCCACGCCCCTGGCACCCGGTGATGTGTAAGTGGTTGGGGGTCACCACAACATGGGGAACTGTATTATGGAGTCACCGCATTAGAAAGGTTGAGAACCACTGCTCTATCCTAAGGTCAGAACAGTAGCCACACTCATGGTCTTTAATCTAAACAATGATTTTCCTGAAAAAATTCAGGGGACGAGTGCACATTCTGTGTATTGTTTTGGTTCTAATGTTTTATTTTACTACACTGTCGAGTAATCATAAAACAGGTCATCACACATGACTGACCCAATTTTTACAACCTGTTTTGTAGCAGTCATTAAACAAACACCATGGTTATTAAACACCATAGTTAGATGAACCCATTGTTTGCTATAGGTGATTTTTGCCAGAAACCAGATGTAAATGCCAGTTTTCTGTAAAAATGTGAATTGTGATCATGTGACAGCAGGAAGTAGCAATAGCTATAGATGTAGGCAAGTTTCTGAGTTCCCAAAATGCTGCCATCTGACCATGGGGTGGGTCAGCTGTCGGAACTCCAGGACTGGGTCATAAGTACATTTTGAGGGTCCATTTTCATTTTGAATAGTTGCAAAATGATCAATTTAGCAAATAATAATAAGGACTCGATAGGTAGACAAAATGCCAAATCCAGTCTGAACATCTGGCTGACTGTGCGATGATCCATAATAATAATAATGTGATGATGATGATGATGATGATGATGGAGTTGGGAAGGGACAATGATATAAAAATAATTGAAATAAATAAATATTGTTTTAATGCGAATCAGGAATTGTTAATTTAAAATAAGAATCTGCAAAGTAAATAACTTCAGAAAGAATCCTGGCTTTTATATGCTAAATGCATTTTGTTTATTCTAGTGATTTTTTATAGTTGGTTAAATCAGCTGCATTAAACCAAGAATCTTTTAAAATAAAGTCATGACTGTTATTCCTTCCAATTATGTGGCCACAGAATGTGCTTGAGGCAAGTTGTGAATATTCCTACATATGCTATTTTTATGTTAGCATTCTATGCAGACCAGACATATTGCAAGAAAAATATATTATCTGTAATAACTTTTAATCACATTAATTAAGCAATGGCAGAATTAAAAATTTCTCTCTTTTTCAGAATGAATCTTCTGAATTAATGAGATACATAAAGCTGAAAGTGATAAACAACTGGGGTCATCCTAAGTATACTTGCATTTATCGGCTTAGAGTGCATGGCGATCCAAGTTCATCTAAGAATTCTGTAGATGATCATGCTAATAAAAGATGAAATGATAGCAGTCCAATGACAAGTTATTGTAATTTTCCCAAGCTTCTCATTCTATAACTAAAATGGAAAAATGCATTCTAGGAAGCTGATCTATTCTTATATTATTTCATAATAGTATTTCTATTTCTATTATGAAATATAGGTAGCTCTCGACTTATGATCACAATTGAGCCTAAATTTCCTATTCCTAAGAAAGGCATTTGTTAAGTGAATTTTGCACTATGTTATGACCTTTCTTGCCACAGCTATTAAGTGAATTGCTGCAATTGTTAAGTTAGTAACACGGTTGTTAAGTACATCTAGTTTCCCCGTTGACTTTGATTGTCAGAAGCTCGCAAAAGGTAATCACATCATAAATATGAGCCAATTGCCATCATAAATATGAGCCAATTGCCAAGTGTCCAAATCTGAATTATGTGACCATGGAGATGCTGCAATGATCATGTGAAAAATGGTTATGTTGCTTTTTTCAACATAATTGAAAATTGTACGTTCAGATAGCTACTACATGAATAGATGTAGAATAGAATAGAACAGAATAGAATAGCTTTATTGTCATTTTAAATGAACACGATAGTAAGTTGAGAACTACCTGTAGCATAGATATAATAAACAATTTTAAATATTTGTGACTATTGATGGCTTCAGGGAGAAAAATATATGAAAACATTACCAGATAGGAAGAAAATAAATTAAATTTCTCTGTGGCCCGAGACTTATTGTCAGGGCCAAAACCTTATCGTAAGAAAACAGAACTTGGGGCTTCTGGTTCCGGTTTGCGGCAGTGCGGTCGAGCTGATCGAGTTTCCCCTGCCGGTAGACCCTTAGAGGGTCGAAAAGACGCTCTGGAGGATGTCTACCATTGAGGAGGCATCTCGGATAGTTGCAGAGGAGCGGCGGCAGCCTCTGTACACCGAGTATCTCCTTTGGGCTGACAGAGTAAAGATCGGCCAGTAAAATGGCCGATCATTTAGCTGCGCCAACCACAAGCCACAAGATCAGCTAAGCAAATGGACCCACCATGGAGAACTTGATGAGACTTTCCTTTCACCTCTATTTTCTTTATGCCTGTGAAAAGTTTTTTTTCTCTCTTGGAATTATTCCCTTTTCTGTTGAAGCGGCTTTTTAAATAGAGGAAGAGAAGCACAAAAGATTAAATTTATTTTTGTTTTAATGGTTGATTTTATTTTTGGATATTGGGAGCCTCAATAAATTTTTTTATAATATTTGGAGAATATTGTTTGCTTTTACCTTTATGGTGTCTGGAAGGATTGAACATCTGCTTACTTTCTGGGGGACACTCTTTGACAAATTTATTCATTGTACTTGCTATCTTTTCTTCGCTGGAAAGGCTTTCATTTTGTACAAAGGAAAAAGGTGAGGAAACTGGGAGTAGATGGATATTGTGATCGATTTTTAAATATAGTCTCCTTTAAAAGGTTAAGGATTTGAAATATAATAAAGATGGAGGAAACTGATGTAGATCTTACTTATAAGTATATTTTGGACAAAATTTTGGAAAATACGGAGATGATAATTGCTTGCTCAAAGGAGATTTCTTTGTATCGACAAGGCAAAAGACAAGGACTAAGTGAAACATCAGTTTATACACAAGAGGCTTTTGCCCTGCTTACCAAGGTGGAAGAAGTTAACCCACAGTTGGACAATCAAATTGATTTTGGAAAAAAGACTTGATATCAGCGGACAAAGGACTTATGATAAGGAACTGGACGATCTCGCTTCAGAAGGACAAGTTGGTCTGCAGATGCCATTTGAATTTGAGATAGAGAAAAAAACATGGGAAGAAGAGAAACATATGATCAAAGAGGATGATATATTCTCTTTATATTCTCTAAATTTTAAGTGAAAGTTATTCAATGTTGAAAGAAAGGGGAAATGATGTTCTACTACAGTCATTCAGATTAACTATAACTTTTATACTAATTTAACAAAATGCACAATGGGAGCTTTCTTTTTGGAGTGTATAGTGTGGCAGACGGAGGCCCGATTATGGAAACCTGTTTGGACTAGAAAGAAACCCAGAATTAGATATAAATATTAAAGCTGATTATAGTAATGTGGTGAAGGCCTTATAGTGATTTGGATTGATTTGAACTTGGACTTTGTTAAAAGGCCTTTATATGTTTTTAATATTAGAGATGGTATAATGAGAAAAGAACTGAAATATGGGAAATGATGGAATTAATTATTGGAGATTTGGAGAAATAGTGAAAAACAATAGAAGATTGGTGAGAAAGAAAAGAATTTATTTTTGGAGTTAATAATACTTAAATAAAAAACACTTGGGGCACCTGAATAGTAAATGAATATGTTAGTTTAAGATTAAATATTTGCAAAATTAAGAAAGCATGATATAGGATCTTTGTTTGTGGACCCACTCATTTTGGGAGGATAGGAGGTGTTTCCATGCCACTAGGTATTGAGTGGAGCCATGGTATTTCCTGGAGTCCAAGATTTCTTTAATTTCAAAATGTTGTTCCCCTTCTACCATAATAAAGGAGCCCTTGGAACTGGCAGGAAGAAAGGCTGACCACATTCATGTGGTCTGCCATTACCAGCTGCTCATCAGAGATGAAGAAACTTAAAGCGGCAGCAAACAGCTGATATGGGTGAGAATACCTTTTCCTCTCTCTCTACAAGTGGATATTGGCTTGGCAATTAGCATTTCTATAGCTTGAAAGCGAAATCTTTAGGTTTAGGGAGGGGTGCAACTTTCCCCCCCCTCCTGAATTAAAAGCAGCGGTTTAAGCTTTTGGCAAACTAAAAACTTAATCATATTGCAAAGCTGTCTGAGGCACAAAAGGATAATTTGGGAAGCTTCTGGCTCTATAGAATTCTTTGTGTTTACTTTTTGTTTGAAAGCCATTACAATTTTTACTTCTTAAATCTTTAAATTACCTTTATTTTTTATTTTTTTATATTTTTTTTCTTCAACTTGGTGGGAATGGACGTTTAGTGCCATCTTGTGGTGAAATTGAGAATTATGTCTAGTTTCCCCTGAGTTAACTTAGATTAAAATTTGGCTGTATGCCCAGACATTGCTTATCTGAAGGTCCTTGAAAACTTTGCTTGAGAAAAAAAGATCTTTGTTTGCCTGGTTTTACAAGATAGACTATAATTATAAATAAAACAGTATTGGGAGCCATCCGACTTCCCTGATTACAAATACAGCATGTTTTGGAACTATTATAAGCTGTCTTTGAAGAAGTGAATATCAAGAAATTTCCTAGAAAAGAATTTGGTGGATTATAATCTTGGCATTTTTGCTTTTCCTTTTGGGGGGGCACTTCCCCCCTTTTTTCCTTGCCTTGCTGCTATTTTTTTTTTTTTTTGCTTCCTCCTTTATTACCTTTAAATATTTTTATGGTTTGCCTCTCCTAATTATTAGGAGCTCATTGAATTATAAAATTTGGCCATCTGGCTATTTGGTGGATTATAATATATGAATTAAAGATAAAGATGAGCGTCTCAAACTTATCCAAACTTGGGGAAAAAGGATCCTCTGCTCCTGCCTTGACTTCTGCAAGTCCTGTATATCAGAGATCAATTTACTACAATGCACCAGCAAGAGAAGATGGACATCCTCCAGAAAGATACCCAAGCAATTTTGCAAGCAATTCAAGAGGCTAATGCTGCTCAGATGTCAGTAACAATGAAAAACCATGAAGAGTTGAAAAGTGATCTTGACAAAATGAATAAAAAAATTAATAATATAGATTCCCAAATTGAAAATTTTAAACAAATGATCACAGATAACCAGGAAAAAATTCAAAAAATAGAAGATAAGTGAGCAGAGGTTGATCAGAAACTAGAAGCCTTAAAAGATGAATTATTTTTTTAGAGAATGTTTGTTGTGGGTGTGTGTATGCATGTAGATGAATGGTGGCCCTGTTATGTATAAATGTTATTATTGTATTTAGGGCGTATGAATGTGAATATTTTTATTTTTTATGTATATAAATTGAGTGTGAATGTGTATTGAGTGTTTGGGGTATGAGAATGGTGGAGTCGGGGGCGGAGCCTGGTACCCCCTCTGCTGAGTGCAATAGCAAAAGTAGGGGGGGCAGGACTTACCCTTGGGCTTGGTCTATATGGAAAGCGAGTCCGGTCAGGAAGGGAGAAGGCTGGTGAGGGGGGGGGGTACTCCGGGGATGGGAGAAGGTCGGAGCATCCCGGTTATGACTGGGATGGGCAGATATGGCGGGAGCCGAGGGGCAGGCCATCTTTGGGGAATGAGGACTCGCTATGTTAGAGCGATTCCTTGTTCCAGCCCCTCAAAAGGCTCATCCTGTAGTACTGGTGACAGGGGAGTACAGGGCCCTAATTGTAGGCTGCTGTTGCTTAATGCCAAGTCCGTTGTCAGCAAAGCCCCCCTTGTCCGTGATTTAATATTGGACAACGGGGCGGACCTGGCATGTATAACCGAAACCTGGCTGGGCCCTGAGGGGGGTGTTTCCCTCTCGGAGATGTGCCCGGACGGGTTTGTGGTGCTTCATCAGCCTCGACATCAGGGCAGGGGTGGGGGAATGGCAGTCATCACTCGGAAGTCCTTGAGTCCTCGTGGGATTCCTGCCCCGGAGGTTGTTGGGTGTGAGTCCCTCCTATTGAAGTTGGGTTCACGGGTTCAGTTGGGCTTGCTGCTGACGTACCTACCTCCCAGCTGCATTGCAACAGCCCTGCCTGCATTGCTGGAGTCAGTAGCCGGGTTGGCGGTGGAGTTCCCCAGACTTATAGTACTGGGGGACTTTAACCTACCATCACTCGGCGATCGCTCAGAGGCGGCGCAGGAGTTCATGGCTTCCATGGCAACCATGGACCTGACCCAGGTAATTCAGGATCCAACTCATAGGGGTGGTCACACACTCGACCTTGTGTTTCTCTCGGGGCAATGGAGACAAGATCTGGAATTAATAGATATCTCGCCCTTGTCATGGACAGATCATTTCCTATTGAGGCTGGACTTCAGAGCATCACTCCCCCATCGCAGGGAGAGGGAGCCGACTAGGTGGTTCCGCCCCAGGCGCCTAATGGACCCGGATCGGTTCCAGGAGGAGCTTGGGGAAATACCTGACTCCCTTGTCCACAACTCGTCCAGGTCCCTGGTTGCGGCCTGGAATGAGGCGGCATCCGGGGCCCTGGATTGA